AAGGGGAGGTAGCCTTAGGTCCTAAAGTCCTATTATCGGGGGTGCCCTTGGGTGCTGAGGTCTCACTATTGGGGGTGCTCTTGGATTCTGAGGTCTCACTATTGGTGGATACGCTTGGGTCCTCAAGTCGTATTATTGGGGGTACCCTTAGGTCCTCAAGTCTAATTATTGGGGGCACCCTCGGGTCCTAAAGTTCTATTATTGGGCGTACCCTTGGGCCCTAATGTCGCACTGTTGGGGGATACCCTTGGGTACTCATGTCCCACTGTTGGGGAATACCCTTGGGTCCTCAAGACCTACTATAGGGAGGTACCCTTGGGTCCTCAAGGCCTACTACAGGGGGCTACTCTTGGGTCCTCAAGATCTAATATAGGGCATACCCTTGGACCCTCAAGGGCTACTATAGCGGGGTACCCTTGGGTCCTCCAGGCGTACTATAGGGGTCCGAGAAGTCCTCATGGGCTATCCTATGGCGTACCCATAAGTCACCATGGGCTACCCTACAGGGGTAACGACAAGTCCTCCTGGGCTATCCTATAGGGGTACCATAAGCCCTCTTGGGCTCTCCAAGGGGGTACCAATAAGTCGTCATGCGCTATCCTAGGTGAGTGCCATAAGTTCTCACCGGCTATCCTAGGGGGTACCCCTTAGTCACCAGGTGCTATCCTATAGGAGTACCCATAAGTCGCCATCAGCTATCCTAGGGGCGTACCGTGGGGTTCTTGGATCCTGCTATATCATTAATTTCCGAGATAACACCGAAGAAGCAATCAGAAATCTGCATGTTCAACAAGGAACCAATAAGATTGGGAGTTTCTATTTCTCAGTGATAGAAGCGACGGAGCCCCATACACATACCCCTCATTCGGTAGAGAATCCTCGTTAACCCTAGGATCCGCCCGAACATGTCTAGTGGTTGTCCGAATAATAAGGAAGAAAAGGTCTCCTGAAATCTGATTGGTCCATTTTTGCAACCAATGGGATCAAGAGGTTCTATTTCTCAGTGATAGAACCTACATGGACCCACACATATACCCCTCATTCGATAGAGAATCCTCGATAACCCTGGGATCGGCCCGAACATGTCTAGTGGTTGTCCGAATAATAAGAAAAAAAAGCCTCCTGAAATCTAATTGGTTCATTTTTCGACCAATGGAATTGCGAGGTTCTATTTGTCAGTGATAGAAGCGACCAAGACCCATGCATAGCCCTTCAGGAGCCAAGGGTACCCCCCTATAGTATCCCTTGAGGACCCAACAGTACCTGAAGAGTAGGGCCGTTACTCCCTTTCCCCGGTAACTGGTAACGGTTCCTTCCCACGGCTACCCAGGTGATGTCCCAAGCATCCCAGGTGATGCTGCTAGCATCCCAGGTGATGATCCGAGCATTCCATGTGTTGCCCCAGGCATTCCAGGTGATTTCCCAATCATTCCTTGGGTTGCCCCTAGCATCCCGGGTGATGCTCCTAGCATCCCAGGCGATGACCCAAGCATTCTAGGTGATGTCCCAAGCATCCCTGGTGTTGCCCCTAGCATCTCAGGTGATGTCCCAAACATCCAGGGCGATGCCTCAAGCATTTCAGGCGATGCCCCTAGCATTCCAGGTGATACATTTAGCATCCCTGGAGATACCTCTAGCATCCCTGGAGTTACCTCTTGCATCCAAGATAATGCTACCAGTATTCGATGTGGTAGTATAAATCATAACAAGAATGGAGGAGAAAAGTGAGCTCCAAATTTGGAGTTTACGTGTGGAGCTCACTTTTCTTGACCGTAGGAAGGGGGTTTGAGCCATTTTAGCTCTGTTTCTGACAGATATTCATACGTAGACACTTTCTATCTGATCAATATCACAGAAAATCGATGATATCAGCATCTTCAGTTCGATCTCTGCGAGAAAGTCGACCAAAGGCAATATCTGCTAAATTTTCAGCGCCTCCCTCCCTTAAAGACAATCGAGACTCCTAAACTTATTCACAATCTACAACTCTTTCGTCGTCTCCTGCAATGATTGTACACTTATAACATAGATCAGCTTTGTACTAGAAATCAGATGTGTCATTATACAAATTCATTCCAGTTTGGTCTAGGTGAATCCTAGATTGGCCTGAAGAGATCAAATATCTTAGTATGGACTAGGCAAAACTTAGATTGGCCTGAAAAAGCAGGTCAATCTTGGATTGGACTGACAATTTTAGTGAGTTCCGAGGTTGGACTAGGCCATTCTCGAATCCAAGATTGGCCTAGAAAAAAGTCAGGCCAAACTTAGATTCAAGAATGGACTAGGCCAAACTCAGATCTTACAATGGCCTAGGCAAATCTTAGATTGGCCTGAATCCGAGATTGGCCTACGACATATATATACGATTCTCAAAAACACCGCACGGTCATACAGAAATATCTGAAAAAAATATTTTCAGATAAAAAATTCTCACCATAATAGCAGAATCCTTTTTCGACGCTTCTTGTTTTAAAGTTTCTATGGTTTCTAGAAAAAGCATTTTCAATGAAATATTTTGGTACATTTTTGCACTAGACACTGCTCTCTAATAAAAAAAAAAGATGCAATCTCTAAGACATTCCATTACAGCGCCATATGAAAAACAAAATTAATGCAGCACTTTGCTCACAACCGTTATTATTACTAATGATGAGATGAGCAGTGATCTTACTGAGGTTGGCCCCAAGTGACCAGCGCTCCCTGGATCATTGAAGGTAAAAGATGGCGGCGCATAAAAACATAAATCAGTCCATCGCCAGATTATGGAAAGAAGTATATGTTTCGATGCAAAATTAAACGGCGAATCTTTTGATGCCAACTTAATATATTTTCAAAGCGATTTGATTTCTTCCAACCCATATTACTTTATCCTACCTTTAGTGCATCCAACGACTGTATATTGGCAATATGCTTGCCAAAACACTTGTTTATCTAGCAATAAATAGTTTCATACGAAAGAGCAAAACATTCTGCATAAAACTCTATGTGAACCGCCCAGACATTAAGGAAGAATTACAAGGAACATCTAGTGTCTTTATGCATATTTTTGGCATGCCATGCATCTTCACGCTACGCAATCGCTTACAAAATATTTTTACAATGAAGTTTCATATTATGGTTCGCGATAGTTTTTCATGAGCTACACGCTGATATAGTTTTTCCAGAGCAAATACTGCCAAAGATAGTGATTATTTCGGCTTCACACCTCTTTGTCGCATACAATGGGCTTCAGCAATTCTTTCCCGATGGAGGTTTTTGCGGGCTACAAGCTGGTATAATTTTCTTTTCAATGGTCAAAATACACACGTGACAAACCTCATCAATCAACTTAGATCGGTTCGGAAAAACCAAGAAATAGCTTTCAGCTTTGATAATATAAAAAGAGAATCTTCTTCTAAAATGGCAGCACATATGTTGCAATTTTCAGCCGTATTTGCTCTAGGAAAAGTGTGGCCAATAAAATATCCACAAGAAAATTATATCGACACGTAGCCCTTGAAAAAGTGCGTCGAACAGCTAAGACGAAAGTCCATTGTGCATCTATTTGAGAAACACTTTGTAAACGAAAAGAAAGCCTGGCGCCCAAAAAATCAGTATTTTAGACGATTTTATTTCCTAGAAAAAATTTGGACCAACGGAATTACTAGAGAAAAACTGGCAACGTATAACGTGTGGAAATCTACATCGAATCCTGAAGATGATAGTTCATCGTAAAGTTATTTTTAAGCAATGGAGTACCCCCAGTTTAGAAGCTCCTGGGGGCTTCTAAACTATCCACCATCCAAAATTTTCGGAGGGGGCTTCTATTAAGTCCTAACATTTTTCAATAGTTTTAGATAGAAAATAACTTTGAAAATAATAACAATGATTTTACAC